TTGGACTTTTCACCATTTTCCCGATTTTCATAGACTTGAACGCGGAGCTGACTTAAAAACGCGCGCTTGGCCCCGGTGAAAAAATGAGAGTGATAGAAGTGCAAATGCGTGCCATCTTTAATCTCTCATTCTGCTGCCAAGGGCGTAACCAGTATTTCGCGAAGGGGGGCCTTGATTGTTATATGTATTCAGAGAGATTCCGTTGAAAAATCTTTTAAGATCAATTAAGCAAATACCTTTATATTTAAATATGCAGCGAAAATTAAATAAAAATATGTTTCCTAGTCATAAGCATGTTGAGGGTGGGCCAGTTCCCCCTTCCGCCCCTGACTGCGCTCATGACTGCTATTCTTCCTAATTACCGTTTCTCCTCACACGCTCTCTTGAGCTGCTTAGGCTCATGAGTATAGAGTATGGAGCTAGCGGACCTTCTTCTATAACTTCATTATGCTCTTTGTCGTTTTCCTCTGCTACTGAAAAGAGATCAACCGAGTGTGGGAGTGGGAGTGAGATCGATTGACTGATGTGAGAGTTGCAGTGGTTTCGTTTTTGCAAAAGCAGCTATAGAGTGAGTGCGAGAGCGAGCAAATAAGAAGACGAGCAGAAGGGCATAGAATGAACGATTTGCGCCGCTCTCAATCAAATTTTTTCAACCGGCCCAAGCGCGCGTTTTTAAATCAGCTCCGCGTTTAAATTCGAGAAAATGCGGAAAATGGTGAAAAGCCCAACGGGAAAAACGTTAAGAAGGTGTGTGAAGTAAAGTTTAGTGCAGTGATTCAGTGATTATGTAACAAAGTGTGTTTTAGTGCAAGAAAATATAGGGCGGGGGCGGCGCAATAAAGGCAGAATGGCGGCAAAAATGCAGATCTACGAAGGAAAAGAGCAGCAATTTGTGATATGTGTTTATACATATATTTGATATACGTGGTATATATTTGGATAAACATATATTTTTTGAATAAATTATATTTTTTTTCGTGTGAAAATTAAAACTGTTTCGTTGTCTCGTTGTTCGTTTTTTCGCTTCGTTTTTCGTTTTCGCAAAAGTACCGTAATAGTGCGTGCGAGAGAGAGCAAATAGGAAGAGGAGCAGGAGATCGAAGAATGAACGATTTGCGCCGCGCTCACTTTCATTTTCCCGCCGGCAAAGCGCACGTTCTGGAGTCAGCTCCGCGTTTAAATTCGAGAAAATGCGGAAAATGGTAGAAAATCCATCGGATAAAATGTCGCGCGGGAGTTTAGTAAAGTTTGGTCTACAAAAAAGTGTTTTAGTTAAACAAAATGTGTTTAAATACAAACAAAAGTTTTTGATCAAGGGCGGGGGCGACAAAAAAGGCAAAATGCCAAAATGGCGACAAAAAGGTGATATGTATGTTTGTGACATATATATGATATATGTACATACGTATATGTAGGAAACCAAAATTTGTTTGTTTAAATTATTTTTTTCATGTGTAAATATCTAAAATGTGTAATTGATTGGTTTTTTCGCTTTTTTTTTCGTTTGATCACGTGAGTTCCAGCAAAGTGTGTGTGTGTGCGCTTAAAAATTCGTCAAGTTTTGTCCCTTTCCCACTCCCATTGCTCGAGTGTGTGGGATGCAGTGAGGAAGAGAATCGAAAAGGAATGAGTGCTCTCGTTCCAAGTAAAGTTCATGGCAGGGTGAGGCATTCCCAATAGTGCCGATCTGACTTTCTATTGTTTCGTGGGTTGACACGAACTTCCGACCGCTGGTGCCTCACCTTAAATGAATATGCCTAAAATTCGTGCTAACGGAACATGATTAGGGGTAAGTGTGAAGAGACGAGAGAAATTATGTTGTGTTTTACTAGTTATACTTGTTTTCTTTATTGATTTCACTTGATTTTTTTATGAGCTAGGAGCGCATATCGCTTACGGTTATAATTATGCCTGAACATCTCCATTCCTGCAGAGCTGGCGGCCCTCAGTCGGGCATTATGTCAATGTTCTCCAGTAAATACAATTTATATTTCTTAATAGTGTGATACCACAGGAGTGTGGATACAAAATTTGGTTGCTTAGCTCTTATAGTCTCCGAGTACTGGGTATAATAACAATTCCTCTGCATTTGTGAACCCTTTTCGGTGGGTGGCGGGTGTGAGGAGTGCTCTGGCATTATAAAAATGCTTAAAGCAGAAAATTGGATTTTTCATCTTGAATGGAAACAATGCGGTGGTGGGAGGACGAGGCCATAACCGTAAAGCCCCCGCCCCCGCCTGCCAGCACAGAAATAATAAGTATTAAACAGTGTCGGAAAAGGAGGCGAAACAAAAAATAAATGTTAGATATGCTGACAAAGGTAATACAATAAATACGAAATGACGTTGCCGGCGATGGCCGTGGCGCTGCTGCTGGCGCTGGTGCTGTTAATGTGGAATTTTCCGTAGCATACTTTTGGGGCTGCTATTTATTCCGGGCTTCCGAGTGGGTTCGGTCTCTCGCTCTCTCTCTCACTCTCACTCTTATTGGTAGTTCGTAATCGTGCTGATTGTTGCTCTTTTTATACACTTGTAAGCAGAGAGGGTATTGTGATTGCGGGAAGAATTTGAAACTGCTTTTCAGATTAGATACCTCCTATAGAACCCTGCACTATATCATATAGCAACCCAACGAACGGTCGGTTCAAGATCTAGGGTTTGAGAGATGGACATATTTTATTCCAAATTTTATTTATTGATTTATATATTTTTTCTACATTTATAATTTATTATTTTTTACATTTGTTATATATTTCTTTAAATATATTTTACTTTTATAATATTTGTATTTATATATATTTTTTACATTTACAATGTATTGATATATACATTTATAATTTATTGATTTATATATATTTTTACATTTATAATTTAATTATTTATAAATATCTTTTACATTTATGATTGATTTATTTCTATATTTTCCTATACTTATAACTTATTTATTTTTACATATTTTTTTAATTTATAATTTATTTATTTATATATATTTTTTACATTTATAATTTATTTATTTATATATACTTTTTTCTTACCACTTCTAGGGTATCCAAAAACCTCTTCCCTTTTTCCCATTCATTTCTGTTTATTCTTTAACTTCATTTTGTGCCTTTTATTTATTTATTTAGCATTAGTTTTTATTTTACGGCCCATAAAAGGGGGAGCACTTACCGTTCCGGCGTGGAGTCCATGTGCCTCCGCATAAATTAAAAATGAAATTAAAATATTGTAAAAACTAAACCAAGTTTTACGGTGCCATAACGGAGCCAAAGAAAACATACATAAATCTAATGAGAGAATTCCAAGCTAATTGTTTAATCACGAGTGTAAACGACGATAAACCCACAGCGGCAAAAGATAACCCGCCCGATAAGGCCGGCCCGTCGCTATCTGCTCCACGGACAAACACACGGCGCATTCCGGCGGCGGAGGGAAGCCGGGGAGACCTAAGCCCAAATCCGCAATACACACCCCGTAAAGATAGTGGCAATGGCGGGTCCGTAATTGCAGCTGCTACTGGAGCTCCCAAATCGAAAATCGGAAAGAGCTGCACTTTTCGTTGGCCATTGGAATCGAATTGGCTGCACGGCAGACCGTTTGTGTGGCAGACCGCACTGAAAAGCACTTACACGGCTGTGGAGCGTAGCGCTGGCCATTTTGTTGCTACATATTGGCATTAGACTAATCCAGAGAACCGCACGCAACAACTTAGTTATTGGCCAGGGCCAAAAGCTGCCAAAAGCGGCCAAAAGAGCTCGTGGCAACAGACGAAATGGCGACGCACATTGGTCCCCGCCCCGTTGCACGTGCTGCTAACGGATGGCCATTATCAGCATCATTATGTGGCATTAGGAGCCAGGCAGATGATGATGTTGCCAGCAGCTTAAAGTTGTATGCGATTTATTTGCGGTCACTACTGGCTCGTGGCCTCCTCCCTGCCTGCCTTCTGCTCCTCCCTGCCTGCCTTTAGCTCATTTAAATAGCACAAATTAAGACGCTTAAGCTCATTATGTAGGTGCAAATTTTTAATTAGCCAACTCCACGCCAACGTCTGTCCTATCAAAGCCGCCAGCGGCTTATCAGTCAAGTGCATTCAATGGCAGAATTATACAAATTAAACGCCCAGATTGCAAGCAAACTCCCATCAAAACGTTCCGATGATATCACATGATGTACTTCGATATTTCTGCTTCTCGACTCGCAGCATGAATGGAAAATTTGTGTGTGTTTTTCGAATGAATCATGTGCCTATTCCCGCATCGACAAGAGCACGTGACCCGCGATAGGAGGGGCGGTACGCCTGATAAACAAAGCACTTCACTCCTCGGCTAATGCCAGACATAAGGCTGCTGCGTCCTGGGTGAATCCTTGGCCCAAAGGCGGGCTGTGGCCCCAGCAGGGAGACCAGCTCCAAGTGGTCTATCAATAATTATATTTATGTCATTGCACCAGAGATTGATGGATGATTGTGTCGGGCGTTTTCTTTAATTAAGGCTGCAGAACCCGTGCTTATGCTCGATCATTCATTCACACTATTCGAAATGTGGCCACTAATCAGAAGTGTGCCGTAATTGGGGTTCAGTCATTTGTCGATTACCTGGCGATGGGCCACGAGAGCCAGGCGATAAGCCAACGCCAACGCCAACGTCTATCAGAGGCCTTCTTGGTTCTATTCTGTTCTGCTGTTCAACAAAGGTGGGATAGACAGGTGTTTCGACTGGGAGATGCCGAGTAAATGGGTTAAGTATTGTATGACAATATCCCTCCCCCTATATACCCCCAGGCATACCCTGTAACAACCATAGAAATCGCCAAGTGTTCGTTTTGTGATAAAACCAAACCCAAAGATTGTCAAGTGAACGGCGCTCTCTCTCTCTCTCTCTCGTGGCCCCCTGTATTGGGCCTGTATTGGTGTCAAGTGTAGATTAGCTTCAGTCTTATTGGCCATAGAGCTGGCTAGGTCTTGGGCCACAGCACAGTTCTTTCTGCGCCATTGGGGTGGCAGGTCGCGAAAAATAGTCAACGAATCAACAAGAAAATACTTTGAAAAATCTCCCCTCAAAAGTGTAAGTGTGTGTATCCTTTATTTAATCATCGATTTGAGCCCAATTGATCATGTGATCGTTACTCATACGCCACGTTGCCACAAAAATCCCCCAAGTATTTGCCTAAGCACTCGCTTAGCCGTGGTTTTATCAGTGCCCCGACAACGGGTTAACGCTAGACATTACGAGGTTATCATTGTGGCCAGAGATAAGCCGTTAACAGGCCATAAATTACCGTTCGGCGCCCGTTTTCTACTTTGTCTCTTCTTCAGGGGGCAGGGGGCATATGCCACATGGGGCATGGGGGCCAAGTCTTCCTCGTGACAATTGCATTAAACATTTAATGGCCCTCGACGATAACGTATCTTAATTGCCAGAAAAAAAAAACACTAGTTAAACGTCGATTTTCACTAATACAAGGCCCCATAATGGCCCGTGTGACGTCAGAGCACGTGATGGATCATTATTGGGCTGTCGATAATATTTTTACGGCCAACAAATGGATTTCTTAATGAGCCAAGAAAGGCTTTCCCCAAGGGGGGGTGGGCAGGGGGCAGGGGGCACGGCTAGGACCATCGATAATCGGACATTTGCGTGCAGTTTGCTGCCCAGATTTATGGCCAACTTAAAGGCAATTGTCTGGCGCCCAGATTTATGGCCAAAACTGATGTACAATACCGGGCCGCGATAAGGCCAGGAATTGCACTGATTTAGCCACCTAGGGGCCTGGAATTGGGGGTCTCCCAAGAGCACGGGAAGTGGCCAGTGCCTGGAAATTCCAGTTCATGGAGTAGTGCTTCCGGTGGTGGCTATAAATCAGATCTCTCTCCCTGTCTCTATCGAGGCCCCACAGACAGCGCGACTCCATCATTTTTATGGCCGAGAATCACAGACGGCCATAAATATCTATAATCTGGAAACTAGCCTAAATGGGGGCCCCCCACAGACACTGCACAGGTCCTTGCCAGGGGCAGGGGGCGGGGGCCTTTGGGGCTTATTTATAAGCCAACTGATTGGCCGGTAATTGTTAATAATTTGAAATTATTAATGCGCTCAGAGGCCAGCGCTAAACAGGCACTCCAGATAGCCACCAAAAACGCCGAGCAGATAGGGAACAAAACCCCGTTATCTTATCCGCGAGGGCCGTAAACAGTTCTGTTCAATTCCATTTATATGATTGATGGATGGGGAGGACACGGGGGAGGAGTGCACGGACCCAAAGCCAAGTGCGTCAATGTCGAGGGAGGGGAGGAGGGGGGTGTACGGGGGACACACCCAATTAGTCAATCTGTGGCATGGAATTGACAGTGTGATTCGTCTCTTGCAGTGACAGACCAGACATCGAACCATGGGCGACATGTTCCGGAGCGAGCAGATGGCCCTGTGCCAGCTGTTCATCCAGCCGGAGGCGGCCTACGCCTCCATAGCGGAGCTCGGCGAGCGGGGATGCGTCCAGTTCCGGGACCTCAACGAGGAGGTCAGCTCCTTCCAGCGCAAGTACGTGACGGAGGTGCGGCGCTGCGACGACATGGAGCGCCGCCTGCGCTACGTGGAGGCCGAGATGAAGCGGGACAAGATCGAGCTGCCGCAGCTGCGCGACGAGGAGGAGCCGGCGGCACCCAATCCGAGGGAGGCCGTCGACCTGGAGGCCCAGCTGGAGAAGACGGAGAACGAGCTGCGCGAGATGGCGGCCAACGGGGCCAGCCTGAAGGCGAACTTCACGCACATGCAGGAGCTGAAGTGCGTGCTGGAGAACACCGAGGGCTTCTTCTCCGACCAGGAGATCCTCAACCTGGACTCCAACCGGCAGGTGGACCCCAACGATCCCGCCCAGCTGGCCGGCGGACAGCGCGGGCAGCTGGCCTTCGTGGCGGGCGTGATCAAGCTGGAGCGGTTCTTCTCGTTCGAGCGGATGCTGTGGCGCCTCTCGCGGGGCAACATCTTCCTGCGGCGCTGCGACATCGAGGGCCTGTGCGACGACGAGGAGAGCGGCCAGCCGGTGCTGAAGACCGTCTTCGTGGCCTTCTTCCAGGGCGAGCAGCTGAAGCAGCGCGTGAAGAAGGTCTGCTCGGGCTACCACGCCTCCGTCTATCCCTGCCCCAGCTCCCATGCCGAGCGGGCGGACATGATCAAGGACGTGAACGTGCGCCTCGAGGACCTCAAGATGGTGCTCAACCAGAGCGCCGACCACCGCTCCCGGGTGCTCACCTCGGCCTCGCGGCACCTGCCCCGCTGGTCGATCATGGTGCGCAAGATGAAGGCCATCTACCACATCCTCAACTACTTCAATCCGGACGTGACCGGCAAGTGCCTGATCGGCGAGGGCTGGGTGCCGGCCAACGACCTAACTACGGTCCAGGAGGCGCTGGCGCGCGGCGCCAAGCAGTCGGAGAGCTCCATACCGGCCTTCATGAACGTGATCGAGACGAACGAACAGCCGCCGACGTACACGCGGACGAACAAGTTCACCAACGGCTTCCAGAACCTGGTCGACTCCTACGGCATGGCCTCCTACCGCGAGGTCAATCCCGCCCTGTACGCCTGCATCACGTTTCCCTTCCTGTTCGCCGTGATGTTCGGCGACCTCGGGCACGGCCTCATCCTGGTGCTGTTCGCCGCCTGGCTGATCCTCAAGGAGCAGAAGCTGGCCGCCATCAAGGAGGAGATCTTCAACATCTTCTTCGGCGGCCGCTACATCATCTTCCTGATGGGTCTCTTCTCCATCTACACGGGCTTCATCTACAACGACGTCTTCTCCAAGTCGATGAACATCTTCGGCTCCGGCTGGAGCATGAACTACACCGAGGCGGTGGTGGTTGACCCCAGCCTCAAGTATCTGACCCTCCGGCCGAACGACACCTTCACCAAGCCGTATCCCCTGGGCATGGATCCCATCTGGCAGATGGCCGACAACAAGATCATCTTCCTGAACACCTTCAAGATGAAGCTGTCGATCATCTTCGGGGTCCTGCACATGGTCTTCGGCGTGTCCATGTCCGTCGTGAACTTCATCCACTACCGGAAGTACGCGAGCATCTTCCTGGAGTTCCTGCCGCAGGTGCTGTTCCTGCTGCTGCTCTTCGGCTACATGGTGTTCATGATGTTCTTCAAGTGGATCGTCTACAACGACACCGTCGAGGGCCCCCTGTCGCCGGCCTGCGCCCCCTCCATACTCATTCTGTTCATCAACATGATCCTGCAGGGCAGCCAGGACACGCCGGAGCCCTGCAAGGAGTTCATGTTCGAGGGCCAGAAGGACATACAGATGGTGTTCGTCGTGGTGGCGATCATCTGCATTCCCTGGATGCTGCTGGGCAAGCCGCTCTACATCATGGTCAAGCGTCGCGGCAGTCCGCCGGCTCTGCCGAAGCCCCAAGAAGGCGCCAACGGGGGCGGTGGCGACCATGGCGGTCACGGCGAGGACGAGCCAATGGGCGAGATCTTCATCCACCAGGCCATACACACCATCGAGTACGTGCTGAGCACGGTCTCCCACACGGCCTCGTACCTACGGCTGTGGGCTCTGTCCCTGGCCCATGCCCGTAAGTCGAACACAAGGATCCTCGATCGCTGGACAACCACTGATAACCCCTAACCCCCTTTCAGAGCTCTCCGAAGTGCTGTGGAGCATGGTCCTGGCCAAGGGCTTCATATTCGACAGCTATATCGGTGCCATTGGCGTTTACCTGGTGTTCTGGGCCTGGTCCTCGCTCACCGTCGGCATCCTGGTGCTCATCGAAGGACTCTCGGCCTTCCTGCACACCCTCCGCCTGCACTGGTAGGACCTTAGACGGTGTTTCCTTGCCTTGTACCTTTGCTAACCTTCTATTTTCCTTTCAAGGGTGGAGTTCATGAGCAAGTTCTATGAGGGCGCTGGTTACGCCTTCGAGCCCTTTGCCTTTAAGACCATTCTGGTGGACGACGAGGATGCCTAGAGGGGGAGAGAGAGACAGAGAGAGAGGGGGGGAGAGAGCGCGCAGGACGCACTAGCCCAAAAACATTTTCCGTTTATTTGGTTTTCTTTTTTTAAAAGAAAAAAATAAAATTTTGTTTGATATGCATACACCCAGAAATACGAGTGCACCCATACACCCATAAATACACCCATGAATACACCCATACACCCATGGATACACTCATACATCTACTTTCTATCTCTTTTTTCTTGGCTCATTTCTGGTCTTGTCGGACGACGACAAATGTTTGTCATATGCTTTCTGACAGTTTTGCTTTGGTCACCCAAGTGACAACTGCAGACAGGCAGCCCCCCTTTCCCCCCTCACCCCTCCCCCACACACACACACACACAGAGGACTGCACACACACATGGACTGCACACATCCGAAACAATCACAAAGCAAATTGCTTGCCTTCTCCTCCTCCGCAAAAAGAGAACTTTTCGGATGTCCCCGGCTCCAGCTCCAGCTCCGGCTCCGGGTCCGGCTCTGTGGTCTCTCGGTTATTTTTTCTCATTAGAAAGGTTGTCATATGCTGAAATTATGTTGTCAGTTCGACTGTCCATCGAGCATTGAGTTGTGAAATTGCCCTGCGCCGCACTCGGCAATTTAAATAATAATATGCCAACTAGGATATCCCATCCCACACGACAGTTAACCGGATCGCCACTGAAGCATAAAAGGATTGTCGGGTTATGGCTGGCAATATTAAATGGAGTGGCAGCTTCTAAATACCATAATATTCTGTTTAAATGGGGCAGTGGAGGGACTGAAACGTAGGGGAGCTATATTTGGAGCTTGAAATTATATAAATCAATGAAGAGCTTTAAGAAAGTTATAAGACTCGGTTTAAAATTGGTCTAAGAATCGAGCAGAAGAGGTTTGAGTGCATAAAAGCCCAAAAAGGGGCTCAAAAAGTCAAAGAAACACACTAAAAAAAGGGCTGCAAAACATATAAATGTGGCCCCGGGTTTTCCGATGTAATACTCTAAACCAGGACGCCAGATTTGATTATATTTAGACTTTATTTATGAATATTATGTGAGATTTAAAATTAATGTTAAAAACCAAAAAAAAACTTTTCTTCTGTTAATTGCTCTTTTATTTGCCCTGTTACGTGCTCTGTTAGTTGCTCTGCTACTTTGTCTTTTACCTGCTCCTCTACTTGCTCGATATTTGTTCTGTTACTTGCTCTGTTATTTGCTGTGATATTTGATCTGTTACCTGCCTGCTACTTGCTCTGATATTTGCTCTGTAACTTGCTGTGGTACCTCTTCTGCTACTTGATCTGTTAATTGCTCTGATATTTGCTCTTCAAAATGCTCTGCTACTTGCTCTGGTACCTGCTCTGGCACCTGCTCTGCTGCTTGACCTGCTACTTGCTCTTTTACTTACTCTGTTATTTGCTCTGATGCTTGCTCTGTTAGTTTCTCTGTTACCTGCTCTGCTTCTTGCTCTGATACCTGCTGCTACCTGCTCTGCTGCTTGCCCTGCTTCTTGCTCTGCTACGTGCGTATTTGATCTACTGCTCTGTTATATGTACAGAGTCTGTTGCCTTCTGTGGCTTCCTCCGTTTCTTGCTCTGTAACTTGCTCTGTTACTTTCTCTGTTGATTGCTCTGTTACTTGCCCTGTTACTTCTACAGACTCTTTTGCCTTCTGTGGCTCCCACCAAAATATTATTCTACTTTTTTCTGCATTTCTCGCTGAAGTTTTTCTAAATTTCCAAACAACACTTTTGTCCGGCCAAAGGCTCCTGTCAGCTGACGAGATAAGCCAACTCCCACACACACACACACACACACAGATACGCACTCTCACACCTGCCTTTAGGAGGCACAAACAAAAACCCCAAACACTTTTTGGGGGAAAAAAAAGGTAGAAGGAGATGAAGTTGCTTCACCATAAAACTGTTAAATGGCGCGAAATTCTTTTCAATTTCAATTTTTGAGCTTCAGGCCTCGAAAACGTTGCTGGGCTCTTTGTTGGCCTCCCTTCCCCCCCTCCTCTGTTGTTGTTGTTGGCCCGAGCACATTGCCAAATATTTGCATTCGAACTCAATTGGTTGCGTTTTGTGTTTATTGCCTTTTGCTGGCCGGCCGGCAAAACGGAACGTGTTCGTTCGTCTATCTTTTTTGACGGTATTCGATTTTGGTTATTTCGCTGTGAGTGGAGCGGCCCCAAAAAATGTTTTCGCGACCAGCGGCGTGTTGACAGCGGGGGCCAGGTGAGTTCCCGGTCCCGGGACACACGCAATGCAAATAGGAATTCAAACAGGCTGCCAAACGCTTTGAACCCGCATGTCAAATGCAACAGCAACAATAGCGGAAGAGAAACGAAACAAAAACAGGGGGACACTATTTTCCCCCGCGGGGGCTGTTCGGGGCCCGGCGGCTGCCATGGTTTAGAGCTGTTTGTGCAGCTGACATTCTGGTCAGAAGAGAGAGAGAGAGAGGAGGTTCGACCATGCGATACCGCGTAGTCGGGGGAGTCAGGGGCGGCTCTAGAAGGGGGATTAAGGCCCAAAAGATCAGAGATTGTTGGGGGGGGGAAGATCCTACTTCTAAAAGGCGGGAAGACGGTGATGGGATTCGTTTCATGGGCTCTTTCCACCAATCAAATATACCCCTCACCTCCGTGTCCCAATCCCAGGCCTCGTATCGGACACAAATGCCCCAACAACAGGCCATGCGATCGGCATATAAATGTAAGATATTATTTAAAGTATCGTTTATTCGTATTATTATCGCGTTGGTCTGGTATGTGTGATTACAAAAGTTCTTAATGTTACGGCTTATTTCTGCTGATTTACTGCTGCTGCTTGAGTCGCTGCTGTTCTCTCTTTTGCACTGCTTCGCTCGGTTCCTCTTCTTCTTCTCTGTGCGCTGTTGATCTGCTGCTGTTACTACTGCTGTTGATCTGCTGCTGTTACTACTGCTGTTACTACTGCTGTAGCTGCTCTGTTATTACTGCTGTTGCTGCTCATCAGCTGTTCCTCTGCTGCTGTTATTACTGCTGTTGCTTATCCCCGCTCAATAGCCCCCTCAATAGGCCAGCTGGCCCACTCCTTCTTACATAAAAATGGCTGCCAAATGCATTAAACAAATAAATGTTTTTGTCCACTGGCCCAGACACAGTCTCTCTCTCTCCGTGTGGTCGTAAATTATTGCGGCCCGGCCTAATGCATTTGGCCTCGTATTAATCAATGTTTTGTGTCCTCCGTTTTTTTTTTTTGTTTTTTTCGACTGTTTGCCACTTTATGGACAACTGCGGCATTTGCTCTGGCGTTTATTTTAATTTATTTGCCCTGCACAATTATTTGCATTTTGTTGTGCCAAAAGTTTCCATTTCTGTTTTTTTTTTGGCAGTTGTCATTTAATTTCTTATTTTTTTTTCGCCTGTATAAATATAAATTGCATTTGATTTGCATTGGGGATTTGTTTATAAATCCGCAAAACACAAACGAAAGCCCCCTCCCTCCACCCCCCACCCCCCCATAGATATTGCTTTTTAATTGTTCCTCTGTGCAGATTTTCTTTATGATTTTTCCGGGCACTGTTTTTGGTTTTTCCATCTGGCCACAGGAAAAACTGTTTCAACTAAATGCTATTTTTATGACCTGCTGACCTTCTTTGTTGTTGCAGCAATTAAACAAATATGCAATTTGTGGGATTGTTTTGATATAAAATTAATGGCCTGCCATTCGCTCCATCGAAGGTCGGAGGTCGGAGCCCAGATCTAGTGCTTCCTGCAGGCCTTAGCAGATTTTACGACACTGTCCAACAAAGTCGGTAAATCAAAAGCAGATAATTTTCCAACAGCTTCACTTTCATGCGGGCGGGGCAGCCCCCCGCCCCTCCCCCTCCCCCAAAAGGACAAAAGAAAAAATACAAGATAATTGTTCAGTGAAAGCCACAAATTATAAGATTTTTATGGTACTTTTTTGGGGGGCTAGTAAATTTGCATACTCCCGGGGGGGGTGGGCCGGAAACGGATACGGCCGCCCGTGTGCGTGTAGATGAGCACAATGAGCGCGTCATAAATTTGAATTATTGTGCTCTTTGCATTTGACAACGACTTGAGAGCACTTGCAGCGATTTGGGCCAGTCCAGTTCAGTTCACTTTGGTCGAGAGACACCCCCACCGCCCCACCCCCCTCAGCGCCCCTGGGGGCAGTCAACCACGAACATGTCCTTGAGACACCCACCCACACTGCAGCAGAGAGACATTTTTAGTGGACATTTATTTTATGCTTGAAACGCATTGAAATTTTCGCCCAAGGCGCCAGCATTGTTGATGATGAAGTCGGTCAGGGATTTGCCTGTGTGTGTGTGTGTGTGTGCGGCATGGAGTGTGCTGTGGCCTGTCTTTTGTCAGGCCATAAAATATTCGTGAAGCTCTGTCGGAGCCAACACTAAAGTGCATTAGCCATTTTAGCACTCGACGCAGTTTCGGCCACGCCGACAATCCTTGTCTCTAATTAGCCAGAACTGCAGCCAGCCAGCCATCAGCTGCACTTGAGTTTGCTTTAAGTGTTAAAGTGTTCCCTCTGCCCCTCTCTGCCCCTCCGTCCCCCTGTCCGTCTGTCAGTTTGGTGGCTCTTCCAGCTGAGCCTTGACAGACAGCTGAAAACGGATTAATTTGTCCGAATGCGAACTGTGCTGACAGCCCGACCAAAGCCACAAATTGCTCAAGATATACACACAAAAGAAAGCCAAGCAATTTGATATTTTCCAAAGAGTGCAAGGGGGGGCGAGAAATGGCCACCTAGGGGGTGGTGGCGAGGGTGGGGCGTGGAATGGACCATGTTAACAATAAACAATTGACCACATGACATGACAAGTAACGAATGTGCCAGCCAAAAAATGTTTCCATCAAAATAAAGAGCAGAAATCGTAAAGGGTCGACCAAAAAATGCCCTGGACTTGGAAAAAACCCAAAGAAAAATGGGTTTAAATATGGCGGTGGCCTAGGAGAGCGATAGAACCCCCCTCGAAGATCATTTGGAGCCTTGTGATGCCGCCTGGGCGTGGGCCCCTTCGCAATGGAGGCTTAAATGAATTTAGACAAGGTTCCAGTTTGGATTTTGGAAAGGCCTGTGAGGCATTACTTCAATAA